CAGTGGCATGGAGGCAGGTGATCCTTAAATGTCACTGGCCTCAGACACACGTCTTCCCGTCTCTCCTGGACCCCAGCCATCCTCCTCTGCACTGTAGGGTCTGCCCCGCTCTCTTGCCTCAGTCCCCATCCCTACCCCTCATCCCCTACCACAGGCTGTGCTCCAGCCTCACTGAAGTTCCTGCTTTGGGAATTTTCTGAGCCTTTTGCACCTCCAGGCCATTGTACATGGAATGCTACCTCCCAACCCAGGGCCCTCTGGAGTCCTAGGTGGAGGAGGCTCAACCTTTTGAAGGAAGGCCCCTTCTTGGGCTCTGCAGCACGGAAAGGCAACCTGGCTGTAGAGCCATCTTCTTCACTGTCCTGGGGGCCTCTCAGCCCAGAGGCTGCCTTATGGACTGTTGTCTTCCCAGCGCCTGCCATGTTCCTAGCAGGGAGCAGCTTCCCAACGAATATTGAATGAGTGTCCCTGCCAAAGCACATTTTCATCTGCAGTAATTCAGCCTGGAGAGTTCCAAGAGGTTGTAGCTGGTTTCCCTGCCCCCAATTCCACCACCCCATCCAGCCTGGGCACAGTCATTAGACAGTTTGGTTGAAATCACCTCTTGTCTTGGGGACACTTTCTTGCTCAAAAATCTTTGGAATGAAATTCTATTCCCTTAGACCGACTTAAACCTGCCTTTCAAAACCTGCCCCCAAACCTGCCCCACCTCAATCCCCACAGACTCTATTTTTCACAGTTCTTGGTTGAGAGAGGGGTGTCCAGAGGAGCTGAAGAGCTGTTTCACTACAAAGCTATGAACTTTGGGTGCAGAGGCTGGCTGCCTGGGCCCTCAGCATGGACCAGCTCAGGCTATTCCAAGGTCCCAGGGCCAGCAGATGGACCAGGGGAGATGAAGCAGTGGTAGGCCTATAGCACAGGGTTCATTGAACGATGAACACGTGTAAGACGTTCACTGATGGGGACTGGAGGTTCTGCTTCAGGCAGGGTAAGAGCGAGCAATCCGATTTCTGACAGTCTCTTTCTGGCAGTAGAGGCCCAGGGAATCTTGGTGAAATGCACTTGAAGGTGCCAATTAGAGACTGAGGCTCCCGATGTCCCCACCCACCCTACCCTCCCTTCTTTACTGTGGCCCAGATCACAGGCTTCCTCCTTTGGGGTGCCTTCCCTGGACTCCCTGGTTGGAAGGAGCTCCTTTCTCTCTTCTCTCCTGCCATTCTACACTTGCATCCTGAAGCGAAGCAACAGGGCACTCAGCCCCCATTGTCTGTGTCATTTCCCTACGTGGATGTAGGCACAGTATCTTCACATCCTCCTGAGCACACAGTCCCCTGGGCAGAGACAGGGGCTTAAAGATACTTATTGACTAAGTGGTAATTCAGTGGTTTTTAATGACCTTAAGGGTTCTGCACTGTACATCAAAGGACACAGTCAACAGAGTGAAAAGGCAACCTACAGAATGGGAGAAAATATTGCAAATGATAGATCTGATGAAGGGTTAATATCCAGTCTATATAAAGAACTCCTACAACTCAACAATAAAAAAACAACCAAGGGCTTCCCTGGTGGCATAGTGGTTGAGAGTCCGCCTGCCGATTCAGGTGACACGGGTTCGTGCCCCGGTCCGGGAAGATCCCACATGCCGTGGAGCAGCTGGGCCCATGAGCCATGGCCGCTGAGCCTGCATGTCCGGAGCCTGTGCTCCGCAATGGGAGAGGCCACAACAATGAGAGGCCCGCGTACTGCAAAAAAAACAAAAACAAAAAAAAACCCAACCAAGTTGGGGGCAGAGCAGGGGCGAGCAAAGGACTTGAACAGACAATTCTCCAAAGATGATATATAAATGGCCAATAAGCACGTGAAAAGATACTCAACACCACTAATCATTAGGGAAATGCAAATCAACAACACAATGAGAGGCCACCTCACACCCAGTAGGATGGCTACTGTAACAATAACAAAAACCTAACCAAACCAAATAAAACCAGAAAATAGCTATTGGTGAGAATATGGAGGAATTGGAGCCCTTGGGCACCATTGGTGAGAATGTAAAATGGTGTGGCCTCTATGGGCAACACTATGGCAATTCCTCAAAACTTAAAAATAGAACTACCATATGACCCAGCAATCCCACTTCTGACTATATATTTCCAAAGGAATTGGAAGTAAATTCTCAAAGAGATACTCATAGACCCATGTTCATAGCATATTTGCAATAGCCAAGAGGTGGAAGTATTCCAAGTGTTCATCAACAGATGAATGGGTCAAAAAATATGGTATATACGTACAGTGAAACATTATTCAGCCTTAAAAAGGAAGGAAATTCTGAACACATGCTGCCACGTGGACATTATGCTGAGTGAAATAAGCTAGTCACAGAAAGACAAATACTTTTTGATTCCACTTATATGAGGTATCTAGAGTAGCCAAATCTGTAGACACAGAAAATAGAATGGTGATTGCCAGAGGCTGGGGGAGGGGAAAGGGGAGTTCTTATTTAATGGGTATAGAGTTTAAGTTTTGCAAGATGAAAAGAGTTCTGGAGATTGTTTGCACAACAAGGTGGTTCATTCCTTCCCGTACCTGATATTACTGAACTGTGCACTTAAAAATGGCTAAGAGGGGTAAATTTTATGTTATGTATATTTTAACACAATTAAAAAAATTTTTTTTTAAAGGAGTTCTGACTTGGCCCATTCGGATTGTTCCCTAGCAAGTCTGTCCTAAAGTAACACCCTTGTGGATTTGTGATTTGTTACTTGGCCACATAACACGTTGAGGAGAGGTACTCCTTACATTCCCAGGGAAGTAACCTAGGCCCTCACGGCTCAGGGTGCAGTCCAAGGACTCTAGTGTCCGCATCGCCCAGGAGAGTCAGAAACACAGAACCGTAACCACCACACCCCCCAACTTAATCAGAATTTGCATTTTAATAGGCTTCCAGATGATTCTGGCGGGTTAATTCCTGAAAGGGCTGGCCTCAAGGAGATCCTCGGGGAGTAGTGCATTAAAAGGAGGGGTGAGGAGAGCGTCAACCCCCAGCACTCTCACCAACTTAGAGGTGGGGAGGCGGAGGCCCTGAGGACCACCGTGGCTTACACCGGAGAGATTGTTGAACACATTTAACTGGTTGGGCTCTGGAGACTGACTTCCCAGGTGCCAGCTTGTCCACCTTCTTCTAGCTGTGTGCCCTCGAGCAAGTTACTCTACCTCTCTCTGCCACAGCTACCCCACCTGTAAGAGCCACCTCATAGATCTGTTTATTTAACTGTTGAATAATTAGCACAGATAAGAGTATACATGTGCCCAGTGCAGTGCCTGCTCCCGTCGGTACTGTTGCCAGAAGTCAGATTTAGAGGTTAGAGTGCAAGGGAGTGAGGCCAAGATGCCCAAGGTTCCTGCTCCAAGTATGGCCAAACGGTATGCCACAGGGAGGTGGTTGGATGGTGAATGCTAAGGAGGAAACTCGGGCATCCATCCATCGATAACGTTCATTCCTTCCAGAGTAAGGTCCTAGGGATTCTTTTTAAAAAATATTTATTTATATATTTGGCTGCGCCGGGTCTTAGTTGTGGCATGTGGGATCTTTTTTCATTGCAGCATGCAGAATCGGGGATCTTCAGTTGCGGCATGTGAATTCTTAGTTGCGGCATGCGAACTCTTAGTTGCGGCATGCAGGATCTAGTTCCCTGACCAGGGATCAAACCCAGGCCCCTGCATTGGGAGCGTGGAGTCTTAGCCACTGGACCTCCAGGGAAGTCCTGATCCTGGGGATTCTGCAGTGAGTGAGACTAGCTAGGGTGGTCTTCAGGCAGGGGCCACCTAGGCAAGGGGAAGCCTGGGCACCGGCTGTAGCACTGCAGCCCGGTACCCAACGGCTTTGGCCTGGGCCACAACCCGCCTCCCCCACCCCCAGGGTCTTTCTCAGACCTGGTATTGGGGGCTGAGCCAGGAGGGGCTGGTGGGCCACCAGGCAGCAGAACCCTTGCTTTTTATACAAGCAGAGGCTGGGCCGGGGAGTCTGCTCCACGCATTGTCACGCATCCCAAGGTGCCTGCAGCGCACACACAGAGTGACTGAGGGCCTGGCTGTAGCACAGGCAGTGAACTTGTGGCCTGTGTGCCCTTCCCACCTTGTCCCACTGCAGCATGCTTTGACAGCTGAGACAGAAAGGAAGGGGCAGAGCACAACCATTAAGGGAATGACACAACCATTAAGAACAGGAAGTGACAAAAACTGGTTAGAACCTACTAGGCCCAAGATGGCGGAAGATTCAACTTCCAGTAGGCCTTGAGCCTCATTATACTCTCATTGTAATACATTAGCATCTGCTAAACAACACACCCGTGCCATGACAGTTCCATAGAAGACCAAAAGTGGGTGCTGCCCCAATTCCTGAAAATCCCTGCCCCTTCTCTAAGATAGCTAGAATATTCCTCCCACTCATTAGCCTATGAAATTACCCAGCCCATAAAAACTAAACACCCCATATTTCCCTGGCACCTCTCTCGCCTTCTGAGACGAACCACACTGTGTACGGAGTGTGTGTCTGTCTAAATAAACCTTTCACTTTACTATGGCTAGCTCTTGAATTCTTATCTGCACCGTGTGCCCCAGGAATATGACTTGGGATATGACCAAGACCACCCTCTCACGCCCCATTTTTCCTACAACAGAGCCAGTGGTCCATTCCTGGGGCCCCACCTTGGGTCCCCAAGGACCCGAATCTGAGTCCTCACTTAAGCCTCCAGACTTTGCCGCCCTCCTATGCGGGTTCTGCACAGCCCTCCCCTCACCTCGGGCACCTTTCCTGGGCCTCCAGTACCTTTCACTCCATCCCCGGAAGCCGGCCCCCACCTGCCCACTCGCTTCCACACTCACACTGGGCCCGGCAATTCCCGCCCGTGGGTTTGGCCCGCCTCTCCACACTTGAGGCAGTGGTGTCCTGGAATGCAGGCCCCTGGCGGAGCGGAGGAGGTGCTTTTGCTTGGGTCGTACTGGAGCTACCGGGTCCCGACGGTGCCCACCTGCCGCGACCTTATTAACCAAACTCATCGGTCCCCAATCTTTTTCCTCTTCCACCTTTTGCTCAGAAACGCCGAGCACACGCCCCACTGGGGAACAGCAACTGGGAAAGTCTCCTTACAAACGCCCCGCCCCACACACTGGGGTTCCTCCACGGAGAGTGAGGCTCCCGGGCGCTGCGCTGGTCTCGGGCCAGGGAGAGTCGGCGGGGAGGATCGCCAGGTTCCAGGATGCCCAGCAGCAAAAAGCAATTCATTGCATCTTGCATCAGCCTCTCCGTGGTACCGTAAACGAGAACTTTGTGTTCCAAGGGTCTGGGGGTGTCTCCGTGGACTCCGTTGGAAAGCAGTTAAAAGAGACAACCACGGGCACTCCCTCCCCCTGCCCCCAGGTGGGAAAAGGGCAGAAAGCAGTGAAACTCCGTGAGTCAGCGTGCCCGGGTCAAGCCCGGCCTGCTGGGAGAGGCGCCGCCCCTCGGGGGGGACGCGGTGCCACTGGCTGGCCGGGAGGCGCGGCCGGGGCGCGGCGGGGCGGAGACGCGGCGGGCGGGCCTCGGCGCTTCCCCGGCGCAGCCTGCTTGGATTGCGCGGCGCTCAGGCCTGGGTCATGGCTGGCGGGGCCGGGCAGTCGGGGGCCGAGCTGCTGGCCTTTGCGCAGTTCCTGGACTCGAGTCCGCAGCCTCTCGTCTACGGGTACGGCCGGCGCAGCCTGCACGAGCTCCGGGCGCGCGAGTTCGGCCGCCTGGCAGGTGAGACCGGCGGGGGCAGCTGCGCCGGGCCTGCCGGGAGGCCGTGGGGGACACGCGGTTTCTAGAACCAACGTGGAAGGAACTTTTGCTCCCGGCGGGAGCGGCGTTACCTCATTAGGGACCCATTTTGAATCGAAAGACATGGAGGGGTGTGTCCACGAGCTCTCTTTGTGGACGCGGCTCCCTGAGGTCCCACATGCAACCCCAAGACTTCTTGCTTCTTAGACTTCCCAGGGATGTAGGACCAAAGTGGTCCTTTGCCACCTGTCTCCGCCCTCTGCGAATAGGGCTGAGGATTCATTTTGCCTTCGCTTGCCACGAGACTCCCGGCTCTAAAGTTCCAATTGGAACCGGGGTTGCAAAATGCAGGACTCTGCGGGCGCGCGGGTTGGGGACCGAGGGGCTGCGGCCGCCGTGCAGGAGCTTCCCGAGACTCCTCTGGGATGGCTCCCAGCAGTTTGTATTTTCAAAGTCTCATTTTTCTCACTAGTGTAGGCAGAACAATGCCTCGGAAGTCCAGCTCGCTGGGGGACCTGAAGAATTAGCAAAACGTGCAATTTGAACTTTAAGTACAGGACAAGCCAGTACATTGGATGTGAGGACCGGGATCTTATCGTGCCTTCGAGTTCCGCAACGCGGAACAGGCAGGTTAAATTGGAAGGCAAGCTTGATCTGGCCATTGGTCCTCCCAGCCCACTGCTGCAGGGCGGGAGGGCGTTCCGCACCAGGTCGGGACTCATCCTTTTCCAGCAACCTTCTGTGAGGGGCTTCACCAAGCCTTAGAAGGGCGTGCTGTTTGAACTGGGAGGGGTGCCGGGTAAGTGAGCAGGTCGTGGCGCCCGGCACTGGGATTTGAGGTGTATTTATTCTGTCGTGGTGAACAGCTGGTGCTGCTTGCCTGCTTGTGGCAGAACAGCAACCATGATTTATGTTTCAGTTGTCAGGTAGCTGACTTCGGCTCTTTGGGTCATTTTCTCATGTTCCGGAACGTGATTGTTCCCCGCGCCGCCCCCACCCCCCGCCCCGCCTTTGGGAGCTTTAAGGGCTGTGTGCCCCTCCTCAAGTGGCCCCATCTGTACTTAAGTAGGTAAGCTCAGGGGAGGAGACAGGGGCCCTCTGGCAGCCTCTCTTCACTCCCTCCCTGAGCTTCCTAGTTGCCCACTCACCTGCTGGAGACAGTGCCCCCTCTGTCTGTCTGTCTGTCTCTCTCTTTCCTTTTCTCTCTGAACTTTTTTGCTTATAGAAACTTCCTACCCACAGAAATAGAGACACCTATAGAATGAATACCCACAGGTGCAGAGAACTTGAGAAAGTCTCCCCATTCTTTTGAAGCAAATCCCAGAAGCTGTTATAGTACAGTAGGTAATTATTTCAGCATCACTCCTCCTCAATCCCCTAGTCCCCTCCAGCTCTCATCCCTCACACCCATCATTGGCTGACCTCTCCCCTCAACACTACCCTGGGAAAGTAGAAAGTAGGTCCCTCCTTGTTTCATTCTTGTCTCACAGACAACAGCACCCTTTTCCTCAAATGTAAAGTTTAGATGTGATAGCCAGGATCCCAGGCTGGCCTTCAGTGCCCTTTTAACATCTACTGTAATTGTGATAGTGTTCTGTGATTATCTATCTACCTACCTACCTATCTAACTATCTATCTATCTATCTATCTAGTACAATTTCCCAGCATTTCCTCTTGAAGTAGACTTTGTGGACTATAAACTCACCCTTACCGCTGCTGGGAGTCTAGGAACATAGCCCCCTCTTTTTTCACACAGAAACGAACCAACCAGAAAGAGGGCAGGGAAAAACAAGCAAACCAAACCACAATAACGTAAGATTCACCTCCTCTTTCTATCCCTGACCCCTACCCACCCCCAAAGTTTTCTTGCAGGTTTGAGAATTTGTCTGGTTAAGTGGTTGCTCTGGATAATTAAATGCTTAACCTTTAAGTGCTGAAATATTTTGCATAACCCATTGGATGGGAATGTCCTTGTTTTGGTGAAGGGAGCATATTGATTACACAGTTGTGGTTCAAGTGGTTCTTAAAGCCTCTGGGTGCTTACTGATGGTCACTCACCCTGCATGGAACCAAGAACTGAAGGTGCATGAGCCAGAAGAGACCCTGAAATTCCCTTTCTTGAAGACCTAATGCCGATTGGTTTGGGGGTCGTTTGCCTACTTCTTCTAATAGCGACACTAATGCTCCCCATGAGCGTCTCCCTGATGCTGGGTGGACAAAAGCCTTTCTTTTGGTGTGGTACCTTTCTATTTCTGAATCTTTAGTAAATGAGAACATTATTTTAAAACTAATTTTTTTGGCTAGGTAATACATTTAACATGGTACCAAATTCAAAAGGTGTCAAAAGAGGAAGAAGAATGCCCAGGGAGCACCACCAAATCCAGTTGCCACCACTATGGCCACCCCAGAGTCAACTGCTGCTCTTTGTGTCTTGTTTGCCTTTCCAGGGATTGTCTATATTTATATGTGTGTGTACATGGGTGGTTTTTTTTTTTTTACATAGTTGAGCCATAACATGTCTTACCACCTGACGTAGTTAATATTTATTTGTTTATGATCTTTCTCGGTCATTATCATACCAGCTTCTATTTTGTCTGCTGTTATGTCCCCAGCACTTAGAACAATGCCTGGAACACAGTAAGTGCTCAGTAAATATTTCTTGAATATAAAAACACTCAATAAGCTAGGAATAAAAGGAAATTTAATCAACCTGATAAAGGCCATCTACAAAAAAACCACAGCTAACATCATACTTAAAGGTGAAATAATGAAAGTTTTACCATGAAGATCAGGAACAAGGCAAGGACGTCTCTTCTCACCACTTCTATTCAGTATTGTGCTAGAAGTCCTATCCAGGACAATTAGGCAACAAAATGAAATAAAATACATCCAGATTGGAGAGGGAGAAGTAAAACATCTCTCCTTGCTGAGAGTATAATCTTGTATACAGAAGATCCTAAAAAATCCACACACAAAGCTATTAGTACTAAAAAAACAAATTCAGGAAAGTTGTAGGATAGACGGTCAGTATACAAACATCAATTCAATTTCTATACAGTATCAATGAACACTATGAAAGTGAAATAAAGGAAACAATTCCCAAAGCATCAAAAAGAATAACATACACAGCAATAAATTTATCAAAAGAAGTACAAGACATACACTGAAAACTACAAAATATCATTGAAATAAAAGAAGACCTAAATAGGGCTTCCCTGGTGGCGCAGTGGTTGAGAGTCCGCCTGCCAGTGCAGGGGACACGGGTTCGTGCCCCGGTCCGGGAGGATCCCACATGCCGCGGAGCGGCTGGGCCCGTGAGCCATGGCCACTGAGCCTGCGCGTCCGGAGCCTGTGGTCCGCAA